ACCGGATCATGGAAATGGTCGGGACAAACCGGAGCACGCATGTGTAGTACCTGCAAGGCCACCGCCGATGATCACAATGTCGGCCGTCGTGGGGTCCATAAACCTCAGTGCGATGAACCACGTCACTATGCCGTACGCAAGGATCAACCCGAACGCGTAGCTAGTCTTCGTCGCCATGAACGATTCCTCACAGAGCGGAAGCCCGGACGCTGGAGATGAAATGGCGCTGTGGAAACGCTGTGAAAAAGTAAACGTGCGCGTGTTTATGTCCGTGACGAAACGTCACAGGAAGATCGCCGCATCAGCATGGCGAGAGGAGCGGCGGTAGGGCGGACGGACGAGGCGGAACAACCTTATGGGAAGCGTAGTCGAAGGAGCTACCACGCGCTCCACTCGCCCTTACCGACGTGATCTCCATGAGCTACGACAGTTGCATCTTGCCAGGTTGCGCATCCATGCACTCCAACCCTTGACGACATTTCCATTCCACACTTGTGAAGAGTAAGGATGGTGGGGGGACCTTCCACATGGTCGCGCGTGTGGGATGACCAGAGCATGACGCAAGAACGTAGGCATGTCGACGCATGGGTACCGATGGGAAATTTGCCGCGACATGTTCTCGTTCAAGTGAAAAACCTGCAAGGAGGGCTCTAGACGCTATGTGCTGATGATGGCCGCTCGATTTGGTGAGCGAAGCGGCCATGTTGAGGGAGACGCGGCAAGCGAATCAACATGGAAACGAGTTCAGGTGTCGTCGTGGGATGGATCGATTTGGAAACTTCCAAACTCGGCGTTCCACTCCATGTAAAACTGGAGGTCTTTCATCGATACACTCGAGCGAGTCTACGCATCAGGTCAACCAGCGCGCCACCGCCATCATATTCCATACCCCACGCAAAGCATCTTCAAAATCTTCTCGAGAAATCGGACGCACGTCGTCCGCTTCCATCGTTTGAATGTCGATGCAATTCCGAATCGGGCCCATGGCTACAGACACACACGCTTGTGGCCAAGTTCATAGCAAGGCATGCACACCTGCTTCTGTGCACAGCGATCGCACATCGGCGCCGGAAAACCCTACAAGCCACATCCACCACCGCCCACGTTGAGTCGGGCTATTCAGAATGCCCATGCTGTCGACCTTTGCTCCGCTGGACAATGCACGCCTTGTCCTCTGTTGTGAGGTTGTGTTTGTTTTTGGCCAACAGTCGATTCATCAAATCCAATCGAGCAGCAGCCGACGGTAGCGGGATGTAAAGCCGCTTCACAAAGCGGCGCCGGGCAGCTTCGTCGAGTTCTTGAGGTCGGTTGGTCGCCCCTGCACGACAGTCATTCGAACACACGGCCATGGCAATGCCACGACATTTTACCAACGACTAAAATGACGTCCTTGGACTTGGTGCCAGCGCCATCCAATTGCACCAAAAACTCTGTCTTCATACGCCTCGACGCCTCGTTTTCAGTAGAGCTAGCGCCATGCCATGGTCGAGCGGGATGTTGATGGAAGCTGTAGTCATCGTACCTCCGTTGGCTCAAGAGCGAATCGATTTCGTCGATAAAGATAACCGACGGCTACGCGAGGACTTTGAACGCCAGATACAGGTCATGAACGATGGATCCACCTGTTTGACTGCTGCAACAGCGAACAGGGTTCGCACGAGCTTTTCTCCTTCGCCAATCTGCGGGCACCCATGCCCCTCAATATTGCAATGCACGATCGCATTCAACGCACCCATTTACTCGTCAACGAGCTTGCCGAGATGCTGAAAAAGGTTGCGCCGGACTGGGTGGCGATTGCTTTCCCAATGAGAGTCTTTCCCGTCCCGGGCGGGCCAAACAGCAACAGGCCTAGGGCAAGAAACCCTCCATAAGATAGTTGCCGAGCTACAGAAGCGCACCCTTGGGGAGACTCCGCAGTCCGGTAAAGATATCGGGACGCGCCATCGGCCAAATGACCAGCTCATTGACGCACTTCTTGGCAAAACTTAGCCCAGCTACAGTCCAGAGTGAGGTTGGTCTCCCATTTAGCACGATCGCGAACGCACCGATATCGTCAAACGAAACAGGGTCACCTGCATCGACGATTTCCATCTCGATCTTGGAAATTAACTCGGGGTCGCATGCCTTGAGCCTCGGGTCGATATCCGGGTCACCTGTGGGTTGAAGTACACGCGCCCATCAGACACGTGACTTTCATAACGACCTCGTACCTTCGCCTTGCGGCTTCCGCCCTGTTGCCGATCCGTCGGGGGGCTGAAAGGGCTTGTGGATTCGCGGAGGCGACTCGTTCGGTTTGTTCAGCAGCAGGGTTGGATGGATGGGGTGGTAGGTGCCTCCATGCCGACCGGATTTTGCCATCGATTCCTGGTGGCGCAACGTTTCTTTGTTTTGACGTGACTTTTGGTCAATCTAGAATGCATCGCGTGATGGGTTTGATGGACGTGAGAATGGCTGATCGAACTTCAAGCTTTTCTCCTGCCGTTTGAAATGGATTTGCAGTCTGGGGCTGTGGCTGAGGCTGGACTCGGCGACCAGGGGGCCCCACGGCGTGGTACGGTCGGGCAGGGATGCGATTATCATCTACGTCATGCGGGAGGTAGACATCGGGATGCCCACGAGAGGTAGTCGTTTGGTGGTAGTTTTTCGGAAGAAATGCGCGCATAGGTGGACGAGGAGTTGCGGCAGGAGTAGGCTGGGCGACGGTAACTTCGACAGAACGTGCTGGATGCTGTGGATTTGGGCCATGCAATTCTCCTGACATTGCTGGTCGATCGGGCGGGGCTGAAGTTGGCCCTGCAACGGTGGTGTTTGGTCGCTCTTGTAGCTACCTCAGCGATAAGCACGCAACATCACCATGACGAATGCAGCTTACGAATAAATCTGGGCATTTTGCTATGACGTCGTCAACTGTAATGATGGCGGCATTCTCACGCGACTTCCATGCGATCGTTGAAAAGTCAAAGGTATACTCCATTGGAATTGTCATCGGATTCGGACATCCTCGGCGCCGTCGCTCTGCTCGTATCGAACCTGTTTCAATGTATAATTCAGTCAATGCCGTCAACATTTCTAACGCGCACCCAATTCTTCTCGATGTGCCATGAGAAGATCGTCAAAGCACTCGGGATGATGGAGCGAGACACGCGGGATTTCGTCCATTCCGTCCAGAACAGACTCCGCCAGCGTTTCAAGCTCCGCAAGGGAGTTATCATCTCTTACTTCTTCCTTGAGACGCTTGGAGAGAGGGATGCGCAGCTTCGCATACTGTTGCCATTGCAACGCCGCCATCTCCTTCGGGATGTTTGAGTTGCCCGCGCAAATGAACTTTCGATTAAGTGCGATTTGACATATTCTCATCCAAATTCTTAGTAAAATGCTTGAATTTTTCTACATTTTATGAAAATAGTGAATTTGACGTCAGAATTTCTTCTGCTGAAGAAGCTTCGCCGACGCGATGACTTGTTCAAGTACCGCGTCTTGGTGGGGCTGAAGGCTCTGGTTCCCCCTGGCGCGGGCTTCATAGAGCAATGGGTCTTTCACCGTTCCTTCCATGCCAAGGAGGGACTCAATCACGGCCGCACCACAGAATGGAACGTAGAACTCGCTGTACCCTCCTTCATGACAGAACGCAAGCCGTCCGTTGCAGGACGGGATGGCTGACGCTGCTGCCTTCAGCGCACGCGCCATTTGGCCAAAGCATTCGCTGGAGACCATCATGTTACCGAGGGGGTCCATATACGATGCATCGAAGCCCGACGAGATTAAGATAAAGTCGGGTTCGAACGCATGCAAGGCTGGGACCACGACGCGGTCCATAGTGCTGTTGTACGCCCCCGTGCCTGATCCAGCCGGCAGTGGGATGTTGATCGTGTACCCTTCTCCCTTTCCCGTTCCAGTTTCCTATCAAAGGTGTTAGAGTCGACGAGAGCAGGGCGGAGGACCTCAATGCGGCCGCTGTTCAGAGGGTAGTTGTTATCCTGATGTACAGAAATGAACAGCACACGGTCATCCGCTTCAAATGACGCTTGAGTCCCATTTCCATGGTGCACGTCGTAATCGACAATCGCAACTTTGCGAATCTTGGACGGGTACTCGTGCAGGAGGTAGTACGCAGCTATGGCAACGTTGTTGAAGATGCAGAATCCCATCCCGATGTCTGGGAGCGCGTGGTGGCCGGGAGGACGCACGAGAGCGTACCCACACGACACTTGGCGGGACATGACCGCGTCGACCAACGCCAATACACCACCCACCGACAAACACGCGATTTCGTACGCTCCTTGTGAGAACTGCGCCCAGTCACCAGCATCCCCGCCATTTGGCAACAAACTCTTCTCTTGAATGGACTCGACATACGCTTTCCCATGGTTCAATTCTAACTCGGCTTGGGTTGCACGACGTGCCCTCACCACATGAAGTTTGTCGAGTAGCCCAGTCGCCGCGAGGAGACCATGGAATCGCCGCTTCGTGTCGGGGCTTTCCCATGGCGCAAACGGCTGGGTGTGCTCCGAGAGACCTGGCCATGGAGCGTGCCACATGTACAGCTCCTCGAACACATAACCAACGTCGTTGCCGGTCATCGACCCCGACGGGACTGTTCCCAGCGGATTTTTTCACGTGGATCCTGGCGCACTCCTCTCGATTATCCGGTTACTTAATATCCGGAATTTCTAACAACACGCACGCGGCGTCCACGGCGCACTTGGGGGATGGATCGGCTCACAGGACATGCAACGACGTGATTTGGGTTGACGGGTCCATGAGGTGCGTTGACGGTGAATGTTCTTGGTTGTCGGTTGGTGTCATATTCACGGTGCATGTAGTACGTCGCATATAGGTCGTCCACGACGTGCCGCTCATTGCGATGTCACTGGGGACGTCGCAGTTGACGCCAATCACGTTCGCGCCAGTAAACTCGAACGCAGCCGCGAGAGAGGATTGAGTGAAGAGAATGATGCGTTCAAGAGGCTGCCGTTCCACCATCACTTGATTGAGGTTGTGGAACGTAGACACAAAGGTGATCGGCGACAGCGCGTCCATCTACCCCAGCACGATTCTGTCACAGGACGTGCGGACAATTCTCACGAACCTGCACATTTGAGAGAAGATCGTTGATCAAAACGGCGGTGGGGGCGACAAAGTTGCCTGGTTGGTCCAGTACAGAACCTCCGCAGATGATCTACCACCATAAAGTCCACCTTCCGTTCTCGGCAGAATTACCTCACCTGGCCATACGACATGGGGATCATGGCATTAATCGTGTTGGTGAATGCTTGGACTGCCTGGGATGCAACGCAACAAATCCACGTTAGTCGTCGTGAAATGGCCCTCTTCACGCCAACGTGGTTCGTACGTGGCAATTTCGCAGCGGCCCACATGCGGTGGACGCTTGAAACGGGTCGCCAACGACGACTTCCCGGTAGTGCAAGGAAAGGAGTCGGCGAAAACGATCGCATACGTCGACGTGGGTGTAGACTCGCCTCAAGATGCGCCGTCCTAACCACACCATGCACGGTGACCCACGTCCATGTGATCGAAGGGACACTTACCCATTGCCTTGACGATCATGCGCACTGCATGGTCCACATCCGCATCCGCATGCACGACGACCGCGTTCTGCGTGTCAAGGTCCAAGACCGATCGCCCCATGCGCTCTGCGACAGCCATGCCGACTCGATGGCCTAGCACACGCTTCATGGTAGGTTTGCAATCATCGAGTGTCCGCCGCGAACCGTGGTCCACACATCCTTTATAGCGCACGACAGCCATCCGTTTGTCTTTGGCCAGGCACGTCCCGATTTCTCGACCACTTCACCATCCCATCAACACACTGAAGTCTCGACAAGGTGCTGGCGTACCTGCCGCAGACCAACGACGCACATCCCGGATGAAAGCCGTTCCGTGCGAGAACCGCCGAGATCAAGTGGGTGATGGCGATTGATGTGAGCATCAGGGAAGGTTTCCACAGCACAGCATTGCCGCAGGCAAGCGCCATCGCGCCGGTCCACATCGGGGCGTGAAAGGGCGTGAGAAGGCCGACGTGGCCAGCCAAAGGGACGTGACGTTCGAAGACTAGCGTCTTGGTACAACGTTCATTTCTCGATTGTTCAGTGGGTTCTTGCACCGTTGACACTGCAGCATCAACCACACATGAAGTGGACGTCGGTAGGTCGACGCATATTCACCTGGAATCGCTCGCACGGCCGTGGCGGCAGAATCGCAGGTGTGAATCATCATGTCGATGTGGCGCATGGATTCGTCCAACACGATCCCCAACTCCATCGATACCAGATGCGCCAGACTTCGTTGGTGCGAGCGAAATGCATCGCCAATCTGGTGCACGACGGCACTTCGCCGCTCCATGGATGCTTGTCGCCACGTAATGGCCGCCACGTCCATGGTCTCCACCACATGCATGTAGTCGTCCATCGTACCGCACTGAATGGTCGCAATCGACTCATTTGTCGACGGGTTCACCACTGTGACAACTGAGCCTTTACCAAACCAATCGCCGCCCCCAAACACTCCCCGATTCTCGTCTTGGAGCCCCAACTCCTTGAGAAACCCGAACTTGGATAGAGTGAGTCCAGGCGGGGATTCGGCATGCAGGATCGGGTACGTAGAATGCTGAAGTGACGGAGATGCTGGAGCAGGGACAAGGGCCGTGACATCGGCCGTCGCGGCCGTCGGGGGATCCCCTTTTGAGATCGTCGCTATGCAGAGATGTCGTCAGAACAAATACTTCTACAAGGACAACGAAAACAACGCAAGGCGGTATGCACGTCGTACGGGAAGTTGAAAGAGTGGATGTCGCGGAAATGCTCGACAGTACATCGCCGTGGTCAACTCGCGTGGAGTCATTGTGTAATTTGCGAAACTTGACGGTGTATTTGGCTTTTGTCAGGGCGTCCACTACCGTGCATCGTTCCAGCACATGTGCCGTCATGCGGGTGGTGTCGCCTTTAACCTCCTTTTCGCACCAGATGCACATGCAGTACCGTCGTTTGCGAAGATCGTCGTTCGTACTGAATTCGTTCCAAATCGGGTCCTTCGGTCTCCCGCCCTTTGCTTTTACAAGACCGACCTCTGGTTTCATTCCCGCGTTCATATTCGTTACGACGGCAGACGACTCCTTTGCTTCGTCATCCATGTCGCTCACCGACTCGGCCGGGCCGTTTCCGTCTGGTGCCTGGTACGTTTGTCGCGTGGTCACGTCAATATGTGGACAGCGATCTGTAACGTGATTGTACATGCGGGCTGCATCGGCCTTCACCTCTGTGCCGCACCATTTGCACCGGCAGTATCGCTTCGCCGCCAGCACCGCATCGTCGTCGAATTCGTCCCAAACTTTCGTCCGCGGACGTCCTGCTTTCGTTTTCGACATATTTGGCCCACTGCACTTGGCCCAGATATCCGGATATCGAGCACATTTCGGATAAAGATTGCAGACGTGCCAAGGGGACCTCAGTCGCGATGACGGACATATGAAATGGCAATGCTTTCCGAAGTCGTTCCATTATAGTTGGCATCAACCTACTCGTCCGAGTGCTTTCGCTTGATGCTGCCTGCACCACCTGGAATATGATGCACGTCCGTGTCGAATTGACGGTCCCCAGCATCCCCGAGACCAGGAACAATCACTCCTGATTCCGAAAGCGTGTCATCGATCGCAGCAACAATCACTTCGACTTCCGGGTGCTTCGAGTAGAGGTCCTTCAGACCATCCTTCGACGCGATGGTGCTGATGATCTTGATTTGGGAAACGCCCCAGACCTTAAGGATAGCCACCGTTGCAATGATTGTCCCAGCTAATCAATACACCGCTTGATCTCGTGCTCGTGCCACAACCAAGACAGGTTACCAGTGTTGATAACAGGCTCCAACACAATGGCGCAGTCGATGTGGCATTCCTTGGGCAGCTTGTTGTAGTATTGCACAGGGAGCAACGAATTGCTGTTGCGGTACATGCCTATATCATTGTTCGAGCGAAAACTGTTGTAAGTGTAGACTACGCACCAATATGATGCACTCGTGCATTTGGAAGCAAGTCGAGCATAGCTTCCACCATACCCAAACCGGCACGAAGGATAGGAACCAAGGCAACTGTTGTTGCGAGTTCTGATCCTTGGTGAGGTCCCAATGGTGTCTAATCGACCACGCATCACAGTCAAATCGTGGCATACGCAAGTCGCACCTTGATTTGTTTCGGAACCGTGGAGAGGTCGCTTGTCGCTTCATATCTAAGATAAGAACGAGAGGTAGTGCCGAGTAGGAAGGTGGGAAGCCCTACCCAAGATAAAACGTGATTTCACGCAGGAGATGACGGAACAAGTTCGCGTCAGTCTTGGCATCACGCAGTTTCGTCAGCTTGTGCGCTAGTACTGGGTGCGTCGACAGGATGACTTTGGAGTTGTCGGGGAGACCGAGAGACTTCACTTTTGGGTGCGTTGTTTGCGGCATGGCGCGGTCGGTGATCTCGAGGCTGGGATGCTCCGGAGCTCTTCTTGGAATGAGGAGAAAATCTTTGGGGAAGTTGAAACTTCGACAAAAGTACTTCGAGTCCCGTCCAAACGAAGAACACTTGGTCGTTTATCTTGAGATTTGTATCTAGCCGATGCAACGTTGAAGTTACACCAAGAAACGAAGTTCGTAGCTCCCAGGACCGGGGAGGGCCACGCGATCAACCACCACAACTCCAAGCGCCAACTCCAGAGGAGAGGCTGAGCAAACGAGCGCGGTGCCGCTCCCAGCACAGCGACAGCGTAGTTTGACTCAGTCAAAGGTGAGGTGAAAAATGTTGCTGATGACGACGTGGTGCAGGGATGGCCGCTACATCCCTTGTCACCACGGTTCGCCGCGATCGTCAGCAGCATGTGGTGCTTGAGTAGTTGGCAAACTTCGTGACGACAGTAGAAAACACTCGAATGCGGCAATGGGCCAAGTCCACAGGCAATCTACAAGATTGCTCGGAGCACATTCGTCATGCAACGTTCCCGTTCCGTCAGCTTTCCCGTGACAGCATGATATTCCATGGCATAAATGGACCACAATGCGTCTATTCGATACACAACTCCAACTTGAGCTGTGCATGCGTTGGAGACGCCGAGATCGGAGTAAGGAAGGCCTGTACACGAATCGGTGCAATGCGACTGAGCTTCATGCGCATGGATGGCCGCGTGCGCGGTGCTCCACCCTTTTGTGTGCTCTGTGCATACCACCAATCAGCTCTCGCCACTGCTGCAGGTCAAAGAACGAATGGGACAGCAATACCCAACTGCCCGATGTCACGCCAGGCTTGGGTGTGGCCCAGTGGCCAGCGTCTTTGTGCTGACACTTCATTTCCATCGAGTTGGTGCGTCCAACGGCATCGCTTTTGGCCTGCCGCCGCATCGGATTCTCCATTGCGGTACTGCCCTCGCGCCCAAGATGCGTATCTTTTCCCAAGCGTGGCGGCATAAACACGCGCGCGTAAAATTGACTCCCCCAGCTTGGATCACTTTAGAAATCCCTCGATCTCCCCGACAATTCCAATCCATGGCCGGAGCATCGGACGTGACGTACCCCACGACGGCCGACATTGTGATCATCGGCGGTGGCCTTGCAGGTACTACACATGCGTGCTCCGGTTTGTCCCGACCATTTCCATGATCCGGTCCTCCAGGCATGGCCGCCGCGTTGGAAGCGATCGATGCGAACGCGGCGTTGCGCGTTGTGCTTCTTGAAAAGGAACCGAAAGTCGGCGGCAACTCGGCCAAGGCGTCGTCCGGCATCAACGCGGCGCAGTCCAAGGACGACCTCGATGCGTACCTGCAAGACACACTCAAGTCGGGCGGTGGGTTCACCAACCCTGTCCTGGCGCACACGTTGGTCCATCAAGTAGGATTCCGACGACCACCATCCTGTCGTTGTCATGGTCCGACGGTTCCTGTAGAGTTTGGATGGCATTCGGTTCCTCGAAAGCAAGGGCGTCGACTTGTCGGTGCAATGCCAGCTCGGTGGCCACTCGACGGAGCGCACGCGCCGCAACAAAACCGGTCCGAACGTCGGGTTTGCCATCACGTCGGCGCTCAAGAAGGCGATCGACGCGGCCGCGAGCCAGATCCAGGTCGTGACCAACGCCAAGGTCACCAAGTTGGTCGCGTCCGGCACCAACGCCGTGTCTGGCGTCGAGTACCGCGTGGACGGCGCCGATTACGCTGTGTCGACGCCGGCCGTCATACTGGCCACGGGTACGACTGCATGTTCTTGTCGGTGCTGCATGCTCGTTTGACACGTGTGGTTCAGGTGGGTATTCGGCCAACACGGCGTTGCTGAAATCGTTGGCGCCGGGCATGGAGTCGTTTGCGACAACAAACGGGCCGTGGGCGACGGGCGATGGCTTGGAGCTGGCGACGGCGTTGGGTGCGGCGCTCGTGGACACGGACAAGGTGCAGCTGCATCCCACTGGGTTCATCGACCCGAAGGATCGCCACAAATCGTACGATCTTCCTCCGTCATTCCAATCGATCTGACGCGGGGGCATTAGGACTCGGTACTTGGCACCGGAAGCCCTTCGCGGCGCCGGCGGCATCTTGCTCAACGTGCAAGGCCATCGGTTCGTGAACGAACTCGCGACCCGGAAGGAAGTGTCGAACGCAATGTTGGCCCAGCCGGAGAAGCGGTCGTTCCTCGTGTTGCTGCAAACGGACCAAGTCCAGGCGGCGTGTCAGGCGCTGGGGCTCGGCTTTTACGAGAAGATTGGGCTGGTCAAGGTCGTGCCGACGCTGGAAGGGTTGGCGGACGTCATGGGGGTGCCCCCGACCGTGCTCGACGTCGAATTCGACACGTACTTGAAGGGTGCACGTGGAGAAACCAAGGACGCGTTTGGCCGAACGGCGTTTGCCAACGTGACGGAGCTTCGGCCGATGTATGTGTTGGAAGTGGAGCCCGTGGTCCATTACTGCATGGGTGCGTGCTTTTGGTCTGGAGGACGATCGATGCTCATACTTGGATGGCAGGTGGCGTACAGATCAACGAACATGCCGAAGTGCTGCTGGGCACCCACAACGTCGCAACGGGGCTGTTTGCGGCGGGCGAAGTGTCCGGCGGTCTCCACGGCGGCAACCGCCTCGGTGGCAACTCGCTGACGGAATGCGTCGTGTTTGGCCGCCTCGC